GGTGTGCTTTCTCTATGTATTTTTTTCTTTTATTCATAATCAATGTTGCGATTTGTTTTCGTGCAAGCTGTATTTTCTTTGTATTGTGAAGTGGGGTTTTGTTTATTCAATATCCCCCCCAATACACACATAGAGTAGCAGGTTGGTTTTTTTTTCTTATTGCACTCCTTCTGCAGGGAATTGTTTTTTAATTATGCTTTCATATTGACAGTGTAGCACGGAACAGTGCATGTGTAGGTCTAGTTTATTGCACAGTGTGTTAGGTTCATGTGGAGAGAATCCATTTCAGTTTCTTTAAACTCTCCACGATGAAGGAAATTCAAGATACTGACTGCGGGTTTCAGTGCTGAGTAGCAAAGAAAGGAGAAAACAAGAAATACTATTAAAAAGAAGTCTCTGTGATCTTGTTATTAGTCCTGCTTTTCAGGAGTACTTTTGTGAAAGAGGGAACGGACAGCTCTTTATCTCTCAAGGAGATGTAGAAATCATACTATTAATGAGTATGGTTTGCTTTTTATTTTCAATCCAGAATGCTTGCTTTCTTCATCCTTTTTGTGGCTGCTTAGTAAGATCTAAAGATTTGGGCTGTCAGTGATGTCAAATCATGCTTTGTATACTTTTTGAATTCTTTGGGTAAACTGAATTTTGGCACTTTTATGGCAATGAAACATTTAGCATCTTAACATTTCCATATCCAGTTGCACTCTCCCGTTTGACTTTGTGTTGTTTTGGCAGGCTTTTTTTCTTTCTGAAGTGACAACTTACTTATTTCCATATTTAGTAAAATAATTAGGAGAAAATTGATGTTTTTAATCTAAACCCTACATTTAATTGTATGTACACCTTTTTCATTTTTATATCTTTATTACACTGTGTAAGATACGGGATTTGTCTCACATTGGAACTACCAATGAATTTGACTGGGGCAATTTTTTCAAGCAGGTATTAACTACAAAATCTGCTAAGTAGTTAGTACGTTGTTGATACTGATATTTCTTGAAGTAAGGCATATTGGATCCTTTTTTAAAATGCATTTTAATATTTAATAGTTCACAGGAACTTTGAAAATAAATTATTTTGAATAATGACCAAAGTTTCTACATCATAATATTTTTATTATTTTACTCCAAGATTAAACCACTGCATACTAATTTTGTAGGTCCTGCTTTAAGTAAGTTCTAAATACACTAAGAATTTTTGGTGTGAGCTCTAGTATGGTATCAACTGTATGGCACGTCTAAGTCTTTATGGATTTGTTGTTACTTGTTGTGCTTCATTGGTTTTGAAATAATTCCTGGCATCTATTGTTATAAAGCAAAGATGTCAGCTCTGCACTGTAACTTTCTTGTGTGGCTCTCCTGGAGTAGTGGAGGCTACTTCTTGGGATGGGATTATTCCTGGGTTGAAATCTGTCTTTGCAGAACGTGTGTCCAGGCCCCTGGGTAGCAAAAGAAAGTGTGTGCCTCTCGGTGAGACTGAGTTGCTATACTCACTCTGGCATGATATACAGGTTTCTTAAAAGTCATKTTAAAACCATGTGATTTTGTCTAAGCTTAAAGACCTTTAAAATAGTAATATTTAGCTGTATTTTCCTTAGCCAGTGACTGCARTCTGGAAAATAATGAAGCAGGTGTACTCACTTCTTTTAATATTTTGTTCTTCACTGAGAAAAGTATTGACTCTTTATTCTCTCTGAGGTAGTGTAATGACCACAAATGAAATCTGCATTATGCATTCTGATTTCCCAATGCCCATAGCTTACAAAATAGTTGGTGTTTGTGAWGCTAACCAGTGTTTCAAAATTACATGGCTTGTGATTTTTATTTATTTATTTAATTATTTTAAATGCATAGGCTTTCATGACTTATGCAGTGTAACTATCTAATTTTGTTTACACGTATCCAAATGAAACAGTTGGCATCATGTGCTCTGTTGCGTTATTAATAAGCTAACCTACATCGTGMTACTGTGGAGAAACCCTTTCAGTAAGGTAGTGTAGGTAAATTAAATGGGCATAAAAGATGCTGTTAGAAGCTGTTGAAGACTTTAAAGTCATCGTGCTTTATTCGATAATTAGGTTCAGCTTTGTTAGCATTATCGTATTTCTTGTTCCTGCTGATAGGGTATTTTGTTAATCAAAAACTGCCTACAGAAATAAATGTTGAAGTTTCTTTCCCCTTACTAAACTTTGTAACATGAGGGAAGGCTGCTTTTGTTTTCCTCTCTTACATGAAACATGAGCCAGTGTCTAAAATGCAATAGTACTTACCATTRTAGTTTCTTTTAGTATTGTAGCTAGTGTTTCTCATTTTTGTGCTTCACTTTGTAAGGCTTTCTTTCCTCTTAAAATATCCTGTACTAACTGTACTTTTTACTTGCAGTCTTCAGTAGTTTACCATCTGCAGCTATGTGTCATGCAGAATGCTTAAAAAATTAATAGGCTTTAAAAAATATATGACTATTAAAATAGATTTTAAAAATCACTGTCAGTTGAAAAGACATGTGATGACCTACAAATGCAGAGTAAAAAATAAGCTTCTAGTGGCAATGTAGTATCTGTGTAGTTGGAGTTCCATTTCAAAATCAAATTCTTTGTCAAATGAATATATTAGAATACAAAAAGAAGAATGTTTTGAAATTATCAATAAAAATACTTTTTTTTTTTACTAAGAATTAGGGCTGAGAAATTAATGAATTTTAAAAATGAATAAGCTAATATAAAACTTTTTTTACTATTAACCACAAGATCACTSTTTATGTATTTTGCCTACAGTTGGTGATCAATGAAAACAATACTTCTCTTTTCTCACAGGTACTATGAGTACCCCTATTTTGGAAATTTAAGRATCAGTACATATGATGATTTGGCTAAATCTAGTTTGTTAGGGACAGATGGCTGATTTAAACAGGTGTCACTTTAATTTCTTGTGCCTTGTGTTGAAACTTACAGAGGTTTGCAGAAGAGCTTCCTAAAGCAGATGGTGATCTCCACTTCGGTGATTAGAAAAATGTACTTTTGTAGGAAATTATTTTCCCAGTGACTAGGTGTATTTTAATAGTTTGATGTGTCATATTAGAGTTTATAGTTTAGTACTTAAAATGTCATAGCAGAGTTTGAAGTGTTTCACATAATACAATAATTTAAAAATTTCTTTTCTCATTGGACTTTTAAAGAATATGTGATTATTTGGGAGTGAAGTTCAGCAGTTTGAGTGTGTGGGTAGCTGTAGTCCTAATTATTATTATTCTTGCAAGACCAAGAGCAGATGTATTACTTGGTGTTATGTTTTTGTTTCACTGTGTTATCTTTTTCCTTTTAAGGTAACTTCATTTTAGAATATTTTAAAATAAAAATTAACTGGTACTAAGAGCGCAGGATTAGGTTCAAACTTACGTATTTTTTTTTCTGGCACCCTTTTGTATTMGGACACTTGCAGTTTTCTTTTAAAATTTTTTATTCAGTAGTTACGATTTTCTAATTATGAAAGATTTTAATAAGAAAGAATGAAATTGAAGTTGGTTTTCAGTATTTTTTTGTCATTTTTGTTTCTAAGGATCCGTTTTTTTAATGTTGACTTTTTTATCACAATGACTGGTGTTTGCTGTTGTTTTCTTTCTAGCAGATGCACCAGAGGGTGCTATGCTATTTGAAATACAAAAAGGAAAGAAAATCCTAAAAGTTTGTTCATTGAAGTACATTGATAATGCATATGGGATTTGAATAAACCTTAGTGAAATTTTCTCACTTTTTTTTCTGTGCAGTGCAATTTAGCAAGCTTACTGTTTTGACAATATTATGTTAAAAATCTTAGAGGGCATTGGCTGTTCTGTATCTGATTATGTCTGTGTGTGTAGATACACACACTTAAAATGCAATTTCTGTTCACTGAAAGAAAACAAATACTTATATGTAAATTATGTCTGTATCACATATAGCTCCAACAGTGTATATTTACTGAAGTACCACACAAACTTACCTAAGAGACATGCATTTTGGCGTTACCTTTATTGTATGTTATATTTTTCATTTATAAGTCTATATTCACATTTTRTGTAACTTACTCATGCATATCTGAACACTTTTTAAAAAATGCCTTGCTGTATATAGATTTTTTTTCATTTCTCACTGAAGCTCATCCTAGGTAAAACTGAGGTTGCAGCATATCCATGTACTTATGAACTGCAAAAGGGACAGGATATCTTTCTCCATCAATCATTAATTCTGGGAAAGAAAGCCACCAACCCACTCCCCCCTGCCCAAAGAAAAAACACCAACCCAAAAACATCCCCAAAAGCCCCCCAAAACCCAAACCAGCTCCAGCC